TGAAAGAAAGCATTGTAACATTTGTTTGTGACGACACGACGTTGGGGCAGCGAGTCTTGGACAACGAAGGGGGGGATAGCCATTGTGGCCGTCAGCCAGACCCTGACCTTCTCTATAATCTTCTGTTAGAGATCATTTGGAACAAACTGTTTTGTACAATTCTCATCCGTTTGACGACGACCTGGTGAGCCGGTGTCGAAAATGCACACAATAAGCCGCCCTTTCCCAAGGGACTTTTTCAACCGAACTATTTTTCTTGGGATGCCGATTTTCCTGTGATCTATTTTTACCGGATAAGCGTTGAGTAATTATTTTTGCTATGGTAGTGATTTGTCTGCCCTACACCACCAGGCATGTGTCAAAAGCGCTAACTGAATGAGAAGGCTGCAGTGCTTACAAAGTCGAAAATTCATGCACGTTTGCGATGTGACCAAATGTAGAATTGTACAGCAGAATCCCTTCGCAACTAGGGAAGTTTTATGTAGTTTTTGATTTGTGGGAAATTTTAAATGAAAAGCGGGGCAACAACAACTACAGCGGATAAATACGTATGTAGAATTTTGAAGAAAATTTCCTCCTTAAAAAGCTTCTGAACTTCTCATCTTTCAATTCAGAATAAATAGAAAATATAGGCTAGTAAAGTTCATGTGAAGAAAAACTACAGGTTCGTTTTTACAATGAACATTGCTGCGAACGTAAGCAGGGGCAGTATTTCCGTAAAAATTTCCAGTGATGAACTAGCGTTTAGTAACCTTAAGAATGCATGAAGGGCGGTTTAACCTGTTTCAACAACTGCACTGGAAAACCGTTCTGCCATTCAATAGGGTAAGTACAGTGGAGCCCAAGATAACGAGCTTAGTTCCTTCGAGCCCTGAGCCCGGCATGTTAGACGCTCATCTCGAGAAACGCGAGAGCTCTTAGCAATACAAATGCATCAGTTCACTGACTAGTTGCAGGCGACCGGGAACCCACATCCTGGCAGCAAGTCTCAGCGGCAGACACAGAGCGGAAGCTCGTCAATGGAATCAAATTTTCTGCGAGTGGCTTCATTTTTTATTAAAATTTTCGTAGATGGGGCGACTCGTTACCAGAGGGTCCATTGTATAACTCTGTTATTCAGTTTTTAGTGCTGAATGCCTAGAAGACGATAATACATTCTATCCTCTAGTTTGCTAGTAGAGATTATAGTCAGTCTCTGCTTGAAGTCAAATAATTTATCAAATTTTCCCACTTACTCGCATCTTTTTGGCGTTGATCATTCGTTTTGATCCTCTGCTTATTATTAGCCTTTCGATTCCGCCTCTTGACTACGTTTTAACTGTATCGGGGTTGAATTTTGTTGTTTCCGGTCCAATACCAAACGACGCACAATGATTAACGTTAGTTTCGTACCAGTTCAAATTTTCCTCCACAAGAATGGCACTTTTCATACTAAGCTCATGTTAAACGGATTTTTGATATATCGGACAGCGAAAATTAATGTACTTTCGATCGGGAGCCGCTTGTTGCAATCCAATGATAGATAATTTTTATTCTTATTATTTACGGATAAATGGAGCTTATTAAAATGTAATATTTATGTTTGTGAAAAAATGAGTGCAGAAAATAGTCCACGTTATTAGATAGAAAAACAAATTTGGACGACCCCCTTGCGTTTGTTTGAATCAATTTTTCTTTGTTCATCGCGCCTTCTACGACAGGATTGGTGATCACATCTCACTAGCTCGCAATGAGGTGGTGGTTGTTCGTATGTCGCATTTATCACTCAAAAGTAAAGACATTCAAGTATAAGTCTAAAGCAAGGGTTATAGTGTCCTAGAAATTTAATCTGTTGATGTTGCTGATTCTAGTAAGTGAAAGCTGGGCAGATGAATAACTGCGAAAATTTTGATCCGCTGCTTTACGCAATGCAGTGCACGTTGCGATTGAACAGCTTAGTGGATCAGTGGGTATAAGAATCTGGATTGCTGCAATGAATTCCTTCTTAGTAAGATTAAATTTTCAAGGAACGTTTGCCACGTTGGTTCATCCAACAAAGCAGGCGAGCGTGAATATGATTTTGTATAGTAAGCCTGCATTCTGGCCTGTGCGCTGACTCAAAAAGTGTTGATTTGTTCACCTTTTGCCTGGCCATATCATCGTCAAATAAAGTGCTTGAGCAAGTACTACCCAGTACAGTTGGGAATAAATAATCATGCCAACTTTTTAATTGACGATATTCATGACCCCTCGACGGACCTAAGACTGTCGAGAATCGAGTTTCATACGAGGCTCTAGCCCCTTCCCCTGTTCTCCAATTGCGGCCTGATACCAGACCAAGTATGATAGTTATGCCCTGGCGAACTTGTACTTGTTCAAATTCACGACCAAGTTACTATTTATTCTTAACCACCTTAGCAGCAATTTTTTTCCACAGTCACCTTCAACCAATGTATGAATGAAGCATAACTCGCTTCATATTTTGGCTAATTTTTGTGTTAAAGCACTCCCTAAATGAATTTTCGAAATAATCGCCCAAATATTGTTCTGTTTTCATGTTCACGTCTAATGTCTTGGCAATTTTATTCGAAGACAACCGCCTATGATATTGGAGGGTCGCTGACCTCCGTAAAACGTGCTTAAGCTTACAATGTCGTTGGTTTCTGTTGACTGAAAAATCATTATGCGCCCTGCCTCAGGACAGACCCTGGCTTTTCTTAACAATCACCTGTGTGCTTAGTTCATTCAGCACGTCTTATGGTCACAAATGGAAGTCAAGTGTTAGTTCGGGTCAAAATAGAATAATCGTCTCGTGCAACTGGACATTTTGCTTGGTTGGCAGTCTATAGAAAGGAACTTTATCTAGATGCGCCGTACGCTCTTCTAACCTCATAATTGTTGTACCGGTGTCGTTTTGAATCGATTACGAACTAGTATCATATGATTCACTTTGTTTTGTTCTTAAAGTCATACTTTCCTTACAGAATCTTCGAGTTTCCACCTGGCTGACAAGTTGACTTTACAGAAATGAAGATGGTCTCAAAGCGGCGTTCTATAAAATCTGGGACTGCTAGCCAGAAGCTAGAAAACACTCCCCCTTCATCGGTCATGCAAAAGGAACCTTTACAATCTATTGTGAACCCGTCAAATTCAACGATCCGGGAATTGGAACTATTAGATTTAGAGTCGTCCCTGCTTTCGTCCTCTAATTTGCCTGTCCTGACTATAAAACCAGAAGACATTTCTGGCGGTCTGAACGGATCTTTAAATCGATTGCAAGTTTCTTCGACCCAGGGAGACTCATGGATCCATCTTATTCCACACTCTGGCGTCCTAAAAGATCACCCAAAGAACGTAGTATACAATTACCTGTACATACCACATAAGAAAAGAAGATCTAAGACTACCAACCCTCTTCAGCTAACAGACGTTGAGGTTACATGCGACCGCAATGATCTAAAGACAGAAATAGCACAGGAAGCAAAGAGGGAAGCGTCAGTCCTGCAGCAAATCTCAAAATTGGCAAAACAGGGCCTATGGTCTGCTACGCGACTCCCAAAGGTGATGGAACCTCGTCGCGGAAGAGTTCACTGGGATTATCTGTTGGATGAGGCACGTTGGATGGCGACGGATTTTGCTGAAGAACGCAAGTGGAAAAAACAAACAGCTAAAAAGGCATGTATTCTTATTTTTTTCTGTAGTTTATTTATCTACATTAACATAAGGAAATGAAGTCTTGCGTTAGCCGTATGCATTTCGTTGGTGGCAGGGCGTAAATGGAGCCAGGTTTGCCTTATTTCGTGATGAGGCATCATGAGGTCACGCTGTTATTTGTGTTTCTCCAAAGTCAGGAGCATATGATAGGAGGGGTTACATGCATTAGGTCGTATTGCACTAAAGTCTGCCAAAGTGTTAATTAGCAACAGATGCTAGTGCAATACCTTCGTTTAAAGAACAAGCTTTACTGCAATTGTATGTTTAGTTAAGGTCCGTAGAGGAGCCGAAAACAGCGTGTGAGTCCGACATTAAAATATGTTTTATTGTTATCTCTGCTTACTGTTCATATAGATTTGCTTCCCTTAGTCTTCCATCTGCTGGTTTTAGTGTCTGTACCCCCAGCATTTTACAGTGAACTGAGGGTTTGTTGAACACTTAAGGTGCCATGTCCCAAGTGGCATGCTAGTAGACACCATGTTTACAGTTTGAAAAAGCTCCGGTTTTATTTAGACCCCCGGCGTGTAATTTCCGATCTCAGTTTCATTAACTTTGGGGACTTTTTTTATCGTTGTGCCCGAACCAAAGACCCTCTGAGATTAGCTAACGGTGATGTAGAGAAGTTTCATCGTCTTCGGTGAGACATCTCTCTTTCAGATATATAAGGCTTAGATAAGACCGAGTAATCTGTCAGTTTGCGCTATTCTTGCAAAGTCCATAAACTTTACTAATCCATTCGAACTATAGAAGCATGTTTGCTAGACCATTATATATTGCAAATTTTGGTGAAATTTCAAGCGATTCGAGTCCAGTTTTGTTTGTGGTTTTTTACTGTAGTCCTGCGTCGTTGAGCTCACTAAAATATGGTATGCTCTCACCTATTTTCAGGCTATAACAGATAGCTGCCACCCTCTACTGTAATATTAACTCGATTTCTCTCCACATTGATCTACTAACACGAATAATTGAGCGCATCTTCCCGTTGGTGTATTACTAGTTTACCAAAGTACAATCTTGCAACCTTGTTAAGTACCCTCCAGTGACCCTTTCTGTGCTCGAACCTTGACTGTGCCCATGGACACGCTTGTGGTTTTAATAATCATGGTCACCGGTGTGTGACAGTTGTATAGCTGAGTGCTCTGTCGATCACTCTGCCAGCACTAGGTTCCAAACCAGTCTGTAATAAACCCACATCTTCCAACCAGTTTCGTAGGTGTGTGGTCAGGATGCACTGGATCGAAAACTACCAGAAAGACGACTGAACAGACCATAAGTACAGTTAATAAATCAACCTTTTTACCACAGCAGCTTTGTCTTGTCAAAAGTGGTGTGTCCATACTGACTGGTTACAGCTCACCTCTTCGATAAACAACGCTCCTGCGGTTTGTGCCGTCATTGCGTAAACCGCTACCTATGTTGCGTATTGACCGTCCGGCGTTTGGTCTGAAACTCTAGCTCCCAGGATGTCGTTGAAAGATAATATAATATCTGGCACTCGTTGGTAAACCGGTAAGACAAGTTTGTGACTCAATGGTTAGAGCGTCAGGCTCTGATCGAAAAGGTCAAGAGTTCGAGCGTCGAGTGGTTCACCACTTGGGGTTGGTTATAACTGCTTCACGACGGCTATTAAGTCAGAAATGGTCATTCCAGTCTCCCTTGTCTTTGCCGGCAATACTATCTGCCTAATACCATATCTGAGGGTGAGCAACATTTTTAGTTTCACAATTTTGCCTTAATTTGTAACTTTTTTAAGTGATTGCATTTTCAGATCTTGAATTAACCACCTTTTGCGATATCACATACATAGTACTTCGTTGCAATGTATGAGGACTGTCGCTGCCTGGAGAGCAGTGTTGACCTGCCCGTGACTGCTGTGATGTATTGCATTGTGTCTATTCGACCCCCTTTCCCTCCCCTCCCTTTTCTATTAACACGAAGAAGTCAAAGCGATTGTTAACCAGCGTGGGTTCTGTAACCGAACTGAATGACTCCATCCCTGCGCGTGCCGTAAATGTGCCGGGCTTGAAAACAAAGCCTTTTCCTAAAAGTGGTTCATACAACGTTACCCTTAGTCCAGAGAAAGATGCACTTAATCGTCAGTTCTAACCTTCCATAGGATGAGTTGGTGAGAACTATACGCGGACTCGGCCTCGTTCCCATTTCCCATGGCATGCCAGTGCCAAGTCCGGCCAAAGCCTACTGCAAGGGAAATTAGACGTGTTGGCCAGCATAATCGTGTGTCCATCGGGTGTTCTACAGGTTGAGGTCTCGCCCTGCAGCGCAGCCCGTCTGGAGGATACCAAATTGTCCGTTCACGTGGTCCATTCAATGGGCCTTACTCCGTTTAGTTAACCCGGTCACACCCGTCGAGGGATTGGCCTGTCATTCGCTATCCCCTACCTTGCCAATTAACTAAATAGTTCCAACGTTGACTACCATCACTAGTATGCAAAAATTACCAGTCTCTTCTCACCCATTGAGTTCTGATGGCCAGACAAAATCAGGACGATCAGAGATGGACATGGGCGGTTAACCCACCGTTAGACCAACTCTAATGTCCCGCCATTCTTGATCTCATCGAATGAAGAAGTGGTGGTTATCTAATTCAGTTAAAAATCTCTCGAGGCCTGATAGCAGAAAGCGAAAAATTCATGTAAATTGTAAATTCCAAAGCGTAAGCCGGCGGCAAATTTTCTTTTAGCTCCAGCAAACTTGTCAGAAAAAGTTTCCGTTGCTAGTTTTTCCAGTCGCTTATGAGAATATATATTTGAGTTCTGATTCTCTCACTTTCAGTTGGCCTATTCCGCCAGAGCCTTTTGTCTGATGAAGCAGGAACTGCAACGTCGTGATGATGAGGCCTTAGAGTGCGAAAGAAGGAAGGGTGCTGCTGTGGTTGCCCGCATAGTTCGCCAGTGGTGGGACGGTGTTTCTAACGTAAGCTTTTTTTCCCAAAAGAGTTATCCAGTCCTTCCTTATGTGAACATTATTTATACTCACTCCTGGTACTTTAAGCGACTGTTCATAAGCTATGTTCGTCCTCATACAAGCCTACGCACATGTCCGAGTTATGTCAGTGTTTGTTTGTTGATATTAGTATAGGTTTCCATTCATGGCGGATGCCTGAATAATTAATATGATTAGTATATTAATTATACTTATTAATATTGATCACGGCCAAGAGTTTTGGATTTGACGTGCTCAGAAATAGCATTCCTGACTTGTTCATTTCTTTCCAGTTCTCTAAAGAAATATTTACTAACCTTTTACGTTAGCGTTTCGCGCCCTTCATAATTTAATCCCTTGTGTAATCAATGTTTGGCCATTATCGATGTACTAGTCGTTTACTCCTCGGGTAATGCTCTCATCTTATTTCAATCGCCTCTTTTGATCCACGTATGTTGCTGTCAGCTGGAGACGAATCTCTGCTTTTTTCTTGCAGACCGTTGAGGCCTGGGTGCTCTTGGCAAATCAGCGTCGCTGGAGGTCAACGTTAGTGCAGAACAAAAATAATATCGCTGCGCTTACCGATTTGGGGCCCACGTGGCTAGCGCGTGCGATCAATGAACCCCTTCCCGACTCCTTTGACTTGGATCCCGCTCAGAATGCTGCAATTGGATGTCTGAGCGAGCCTGAAGATGCAGATTGGAGGCCGCCCTCGGCCCTCAAACCGATAGACCGAGAGGAATCTTCCGACATGGGAGAGATCCGTGCCACCAGTATAACCACCACCACAAACAGCAGCAGCAGCTGTAGCAGGGTTGCCAGTTTTGAGAGCCTTGTAGACGCAGGCGGCGATGCATTTAGCGATTTTCACTGTCCGCAAACGCCTACTTCGCCCTTCAGTTGTGAGAAATTCACCTGGG